TATTATGTTTCTGACATTAGGAGAAAACTGTACACTCACCTGCTGTATATAAACCTTTTACTCAATTGTGTCCACTCACATCTCAGTTGGTTCTTTGTGCTAAATACTCTGAAACATATGGCATGCCAAACAAGTCGAAAAAGGACTTTACTCACAAAGTGATTCAAATAATTAATATTTCCCTCCAAAGCAGTTCAGTATTGATCTATATTTAAAGCAAAAATCTTGGTGTGAGCCATAAATATATAGGTTGTTTCTGAGTTAGGTTTTTTGACTTTTGTATTCATGTACTGTAATCCTTTGAGCTCTAGTTCTGTTATCGTAATCCTTGTTCCCTATTTTACTTTATATGAAGTGATCACTCCTGATTTTTGTTTAGTTTACTTTCGAATTTCTTGTCACGTTTGGTCTTCAGCTGTAATTGACACATCTGCATCTTTTTAGTCATTATTTAGTTTCTTTTTGCATTTAGTCAGATCCTCTCTTTGTCAGCTCCTTTTAAATCCTTTTTAAGAGTCATTAGTTTCCCTTCTGTTCACATCATGTCGGTCATATCAGTTAAATTAAACAGCTTTGTTTTCATCGCTCTGCCTGCCTGTTATCTCTGGACTGAGCCTAATTAGGATCTCAATCACCATACGAATCATATTTGAGGCAAAGAAAAGACCTCATCTCTATGTAGACATGGTCCAGTATGAGCTGCAGTATTGGTCTATTTGTTTGGTTTTTAGAAGTCAACATAAGGAATTAAGGTATTTACTCATGTGTCTTCAGTRTTGACATTGTACTGATGGGCTCTGCTGCAATGCTTTTCAGCAGACACAAATGTCATCGCTGACTACATAATTGCTGATGAGAAGTTGTGGTTAATAAAAAAAGCTGGAGCAAAGGAGTTTTCAGTGCACAGTGAATGATTTTAAATTGAAAGCTCCGAGCTGAGCCTGTGACAAAACGGTGCCCTGCGAATCTGAATGGCTGACTGAATGAGATATTTTCAGATGCGGGCAGTCCAAAACAAAGTGACAGGGTTGTGTTATATCTGAGTTAGTCACCATAAAGTCCCAAACAAATGCTCTCAAGCAAAGAAAATCAATTATTGGTCAAGTGTTGCCTTTAATGTTGAATTAATTCTTAATATACGGAACATAAATGTCCTGAAACTACAGATGAATGATTTTAACATATATTTTAATAATAAAAAACACKTATAACATTATTAAACACATTTGGAGAATACCCCGAAGATGTTTTTTTATTAGTTTTACACTAAATATGCATCAACCACATTAATGCAATTGTGCTTGGACAAATTTGTTGAGTTTGCTATTAACCAAATTACACAAAATTAAACTATTGTTCAATACAAAATATGTTAAAGCTGAACGTAACTAAAGCACTTTATCAAAGCAGCAAGTGTTCTTAGTGCTCTGAAAGACCACTATCATGTTTCRTAGTGTAACATACTTGATACTAAATCACAAGTTATATAAAAATATGTAAAATTAAAAATGTCATTAACTCATGCCTACATTTTAAAATTATGTAAAAAAATTGATTGATGGAGGCTTTGAAGTTTAAAGTGGTGCCTGAGCCATKTTGAAATGGTATTCTCTCTGAAAGTTGTTTTTCTTTTGGCTGCTCCCTTCCCAAAGGGTTGGCCACAACTGGCAAACCTGCATTAGACCTTTGGCAACAGTTTGTGCTGGATGCACTTCTTGATGCAGCCTGGGCTCAAACCTGCAGCTTCAGAATTACAAGGCCATGGCATGGACCACTGAGCTGAGAAGTTTCAGGTGAACTCAGCCTTAGCGGCCTCCACATCGTRGACAAACAGGTAAGTCATATGCAAAAGAGGACCATCAGCCAAACAATAAGTTGTTAGTGCCTTTTCTGGGAAAGTTAACGTTTATTATATTAAAATCCAACAGGTCTGATCAGACTAGTTAGAGTGCAGCTAAAACAGATGTGGTTTACARCCATCTTAAAATGATATCTTCTAATTTTCACAGGGGTTCATGCCAACACTGTTTAATCTGCAAGCACAAATTGCAGCAACAGCTAGCTGTAGCACTTCTGTACTGTACTACTGCAATAACCAAATGCAAAATAACCTTAATGTCTCTGAGTCATATTTCAGAGGCTTGTTAATATTAGACTATCAAAGTGATCATTTGATGGGTTTGAAATAACTTGACAAACAGATCTCACYTTGTTCAAGTTGAACATCTAACCTCTCTCAAAATAACTAAAGGAGTTCCTCAAGGATCAATTTTTGGTCCATTACTTTTTACTATTTCTATTAACTGTTTGGATTATAATGTTCCATGTGCAACGTTTCATTTCTACACGAATGGTACTGGTATGTGCTGTSTCAATGGCAAGCAATGAAGTAAATCAGTCCACAATCAGCGTTTGTCACTCAGATTGATTTAAGTTCCTCAAAACTGGTTTTAAACACAAACAAAACCAAGCTGAGGATGTTCTTTGATTCAAAAGTTAAGGCATCTGATTTTCAAGCAGTCTTAACATTTTCAGGCTCTCAGTACAGACACTTGGACTTTTTCCTTAATGATGTTCTCTCCTTTGCAGCACTCAATATCTAGTTAAAAGACAAAAGTTAAACTTTTTACTCCAGGATCAGATCCTGCCTGTCTTTCAATACAAATAAATAAATAAATAAAAAATAAATAAAAAAACAGACTTTTGTTGCTGCTACATTTATGTTGGATTATGCTGACGTTTTATACATGTTTCCTCTCTGCTGCTGAGGGTTAGAGCAGTTGTCCACCAGAGTTGGGGATTCAGTTGTGTCCTTGGGCAAGACACTGAACTCTTCTGATGTGTGTCCCATCAGTGTATGAATCGATTAGTCTTATTAGAATGAAGAACTGAAGAAGTCTCTTGGAGGAGAGACGAAACGTTTCATTAGAGAAGAACCCATCCAGAGGACCTACACAATTTTTTTCTTTTTGATTTTTTACCTGGATTACTGAGATGCATCAGGACCTCTTATTAGAATGATTTATTCAGATTGGCTTTGTAGAGAGATATAGCAGAATGAATGAATGTGTGTGTGTGGATGACTAAATGAGGTAATATACTGTAGTGTAAAGTGCTTTGAGTATCCTGGTTAGATAGAAATGTGCTAAGTACTGTCCATTTACCATTTCTTCATCTATATGAAACCTCAAAATGACTAGAGGTTATTCTCTTTGCTCCCCTGATTACTACTTATAGTTTACATCTAAAGTTCGGACAGAAGAGGGGAAAAGGTAATTTCAGTTTGCTGCTCAATCGAACATGAATCAACTTGAATTTAGTCTAAAAATAAAGGAGCTGGTGTGATTAAACATATTGAATATTTGAGAAACAGACATCAGATTGTGTTTTAGCTGACATGATTAGATAGGTCATGTACAGATGCACTCTAACTTAAGCAAGCGATTTTATGGTTTATTTTATTAAAATGTTTACTTATTTTAAAGTTTGTTTTATGAAACTTTGTGTTTTTGCCATTTTCTGGTCATAGGACACATTTGTAAGCTAGATTTTTGATCTCAACAAGTTTCGTCTAGTAATATGAAGGGAATACTAAATGATATGAGTAGCTAATGGTTTATTAAATAGCATTTGTGTGAACCGCTATGAAACTTGACAGAAAAAAAAGTAGTTTTCAAAGGCAAAATCTGCTTTGGAACTGCGTCTGCTCAGAGGACCCACTTCCAAAGAGGACTTAAACCATCTTAAAACATGTCTAATCTTCAAAAATTCATAGAGGTTTATATGAATTCCTTTTTTTTAATAAATGACACTGCCATCAGATTGGTGTCATTTTGGCAAACGTATGAGATTCCTGCTGGAAACAGACTGCACCAAAAGTGTGACTCTGCAGCTGTTTGCACTTGCAACTAAGGCTGGACTTCCAGGTAAATAAATATGCAATAGGTAAACTGTGTCGTAAAAAAATAATAATAAACTACCGTGCTCACATTTTGGTGATACGAGCTGCAAGATTACAGCTATCCACTTTGGTTGGGACCAAAATTAAACTGGGGTTGTTAAAAGAAACTATTCACAGCTAATAAAACATTTTTTTCCTCATGGTTGGTTTGTTCTTAGACAAAAAATAAATTGTTAGTAAGATTTGTGAACAGCTGTCACATGTGTTTGTTTACTTGGGAACAGCTGAAGTGACTGGAGGTCAACAACGGTGACATCCACAGAAGAGCTGTTTGGGAGAAGTCAGMCAGTTTTGATGTACCAGTACATATTTGCACTCTGTTGAGTAAACACAGATAAGCTTTCAATAATTCTGAGTGCTTTATTTACRTTGAGTGTGGACCCACATTTCAGAAATGCACATGAAGATATCCATAAAACTACRGGCATAAACTCTTTCAAACTGCWCCATTTGAATTMAKTTTGTAACGAGTGCCTTTAAAAGTGCTGCTGAAAAGATTACTTATAGATATTTATACAGCATGCAGAAATAAAAAAAAAAACTGCAAATGCACAATAATATATATTGCAAAGACCTGCTCCCAAGTCCCAACTCACTTAACGCCTCTTTTCACTTCTAAGAGGGTAAAAATAAATTTAGCAAACTAAAACAAACCCCATTAAACACATTTTGAAGTAATTAAGAAATTAATTACGCCTTTAAATCCATTAATATAGCTACTTTTTCTAAAGTGCTGCTGCTTTTTTGATAAAGACGCTGAAGAGATTTATTAACAGGATGATTTGCTCCATGATGCAAGTCAAGATGCGCTGATATCTGATGATGAGCCTATTGATGATGATGATGATGATGATGATGATGATGATGATGATGATGATGATGATGATGATGATGATGATGATGATGATGGTGGTGGTCACGGTGGCGGCTGTGATGATGAACATCATGATAGGGCACCGCTGTTAATCACTTCCGAGAGGGAGAGGTGATAAAGAGCTCAAGAAACAAAACCGTGGAAATCAGAGGTAGGCGAAGAGGAGGAGGAGGAGRGAGGGAGAGGGAGAGCTTTTATTTTTTCCCTTTTTTTTTTAAACCATGAGTCTCGCTCTCACTGAGTGAGGAGGCAGAGTTGGAGCGTCAGAGAGGRGGAGAGAGACGGCGGAGGATGACAGCGTTTGTCCTTCTTGGACTCAGTTTTGCCACCGGCTGACGGCAGCTCCAACAACTTCACAGCGATCCGACATTTAAAGGTAATTTATTTTAAATTCTCTGATTCCTAATTGTTCTGACATTATGAGCAGCGGATGATTAATGTCTCTCTTTTTTATGTTTTTACCTCGGTCAGAATGAGTGGATATCTTCGCCAGTTTCCCGCTCGCACTGTTTTTTTTCCCTTTATCACTGCCTGACATCTACCTGGGATCATACAGGGAAAAAATAAATAAAAATAAATCACGGCTCGTGACACTAAAAAAATTTAAGAAGAAAAATACCTTCAGTGAATTAAAGGCATGTGGAGAATTCCCACGATGGACCGACACCGCGCGCAGTGAGGGTTTAAAAATATAAAAGTGCATTTATTGAATTAAAGTGTTAAGTCCTGAAAGCAGGATGGACGGGGGTCCAGTTTCGCATTTAGTGACCTATTTGGGGGGTCTTTGGTCAGAGAGACCTATCCGACATATAGGCTAATGCGCCTTTGGGGGGATTTAACCCACCATAATAACTGTTGTCAGGCCAACATTGATTCATTCCTTTACTCATCCCGTCATCGTTTCGCCCAGATTTGTTGGCAGTTTAGGTTTTGCGTCTGACCGCAAGGTGAGAGGGATGGCACTTTTGCGCAAACTGGACAGGCGCAGCGCAAATGCAGATTTAAATAAGTGTGCGCGCGCGTGAGAGAGGTCAATCCCGAAAACAGACGGACACTAACATTTATGCGCTTATTTGTTTATTAATTTTTTCGTTTTGCACCTTTGCGCCGTCTTTTATCCGCGGTTCGGCGCGTCTCTAATGAGGTTCAGAAAGCCCCGGCTYAATTGCGTCCATTCATTACGCGACCCTATAAGTCGGTGATAATAAGTAGATTTGGCTTCATTACCACGGGGGGTCGGGAATTCGGCTGTGCTTTTGCAAAAAGAAAAGGAAAAAAAAATCCCAAATCCTCTTTTTTCTTCTCCCCCTCTCTGCGCACAAACGTAATAATGTTTGCGTGAGACCTTAAGCATCCACTGCCCTCCCGGGAAATACATTTGCCTGGATTTATGACCTGCCTCCTCAGGTTATATCGATTATCACAGCCTGCTGTGTACTATATTTTTGTAGGAGCAAGAAAAGTGGGTCTGCCGTGTCTCTATATAATGTCTCCATGTTGCAGGGAGCGCGCTTTGAAAGAGTCATCTCTGCAGCTGCAGGTCAATTCTCAAGTGAAACATCTTTGCTCTTATAGCCTCTTGTTGATCACATAAAAGCTAATGTTATATATGAACCCCAACCCAACACCACCGCACACACACACACTTACATCCACACACACATGCTTTATGAGCCTTAAGTGACTATAATGGTTCTGATCAGTGTGAGAACTGCTTATGTATGTGGAAAGCTCACTCCCTAAAGATCCCTGTGTGAACACCCCAGCTGCATTTGTTTATGCACAAGTCCATCCATGATTTGTTTGCGAATATGATGATCCCCCGCACGCCAGTTTCTTTGATTACACAAGCACTTGTCTGCAATCTTCTCCCAGGAGCAGCTGTGACATTGGAAGACTCTTATTTGGGAGAAATCAAAGGAGGGTGGGGGAGCGTCCTGTTCTTCTAATGCTGTTATCCAATTTGTGTGTTAGTTTGCAGTTAATAGCTGTTTACATCGAATGGCAATTGTGTTTACCCAGATGGGGAGCGGGCAGCAAAAGGGAGATGTGAAAGGAGGGAGAAAGCGGGGTGTATTTCAGGTAGGGAGGAGGGTTAGATGAAAAAGTGGGGAGGAGGTGGGGCTGCTGAAAGGTGAACATGGGTAACGGATGAAGAAGGCGAGCCAGTAGAAACAGGTTACACTGAGTCGCAGACTTGTGTTAGTGATGAAACTGCACGGAAATGAAACTAGAAAGAAAGCTGCTGGAGCAAGAGACTCTTTGTCCTGTTAGCTTAGATCAGTGGTTCCCAAACTTTTTATCTTCTGACCCACAAAAGATCCATGGCAAAAACTTGTGACCCCAAATATTACTGGTCTGAGTACACAAACTTCATTAATAATCCTAAAAACACAGGC